TTCATCAATAGCTAATTGTGCAAAATTACTAACAGGTATATTTGATTGTGTACCATATGGTGTTAAACGATAATTATTATAAAAATTACTTTGTTGATATGGTCCTAATGAATATGGATTTAAATAATTTGTTGGTGAATAAAGATTATATTGTTGTTGAATAGTTCGTGGTGGTGGTGGTGGTACTAAAATTTGTGTTCGTCTAGAAAATTAACAAAGAAAATTTTATGAGAAAAAGAATTTTTTTTAAATTACATACGAATTTTCAATTGTTGGTACTATACCATTATTTATTGTATCGAATGATATTGGCATTGGCTGATTTGACATTGGTATTGAAGTTTCCCATGGCTTAGGAGCAGCCATCTGAAATAATAAATTTCTTTGTATATATATTTTAAACAAAAAAAGAATTATTGAAAATGATAATAACAAATAAATTTCGAAGCTAAGTTTCTAAGATGAGTCATGTGAATTGAGTTTTATTTTTATATTAAAAGAAAAGTTGTTTTTTTTGTTTAACTAGAAGAAAATAAATAAAAATATTGTTTTTTTTTGTTTTTTTTTATTATGAAAGTGACATCTTTAAAATACAAAAAATATTAATTTTTATTGGTTAGATTTAGAATTGTTTTGATTGTATATCTTATATACAAAAAATTGTAGAATCAAAATAATTATAAACAATATTTGCTCGATTATATACAAAGATTTAATATATATTCAAAATTATTATGAATTATCAATCAAATTATAAATTATTGTAAGTATTAGAAATATGTAAAATTAGATTTATATAATAATTACTGATGTTGCCGTTTGGCAACATGGAATCAATATTTCTTAAGTTAATGACGTATAATTTTTTTTAACACATTGATAATTACGCCAATACATACATTCATACGAAAAATATAAAGCTTTTAGTAAGGAGATGAAGGTAGTGGCGGAGCCAGGATTTTTTGGTATGCTTAATCTCAGTTTTAAAGCATGGGATCCAAATGAAAATTGATGGAGGTTGATATTGGTCTTCATTGATGACTTTCCATCAGACGATTTTTGTAATAGAAGCTTGCGAAAAAAATTAGCATTTTCCTGAGCCCACCCAAGAAATTTCTTACATTTTTAGTAATATCCAATTTTTAAGAACTCCATAGAAAGCTACATCGAATTTCATCGAGAGATTTCAAATTTCATCTTGAAATATTCATCCGTTCAGGAGCTATGACGTTTTGAACTTCTGGTGCAATTTTTTCGAAACGTACCAAAACTTCAAAACGTCATAACTCCTGAACGGATGAATATTTCAAGATGAAATTTGAAATCTCTCGATGAAATTCGATGTAGCTTTCTATGGAATTCTTAAAAATTGGATATTACTAAAAATGTAAGAAATTTCTTGGGTGGGCTCAGGAAAATGCTAATTTTTTTCGCAAGCTTCTATTACAAAAATCGTCTGATGGAAAGTCATCAATGAAGACCAATATCAACCTCCATCAATTTTCATTTGGATCCCATGCTTTAAAGCTGAGATTCAGCATACCAAAAAATCCTGGCTCCGCCACTAGATGAAAGACTCAATTCACGATACCCTAAAAGAGCATCCGAATCGAAATAATTACTTTTCCTTGTGTCTGAACATTCAAATGAAGATGCAATTAGTGGGAAATTTTCCTTCAGGAATCTGTAATCTACTGTATTACTAAGTCAAATTATAGAAGAAATCTGAACAATAAAAAATGAGGATGTTGCCGTTTAACAACATTCGGTCGTAAGGGGATAAAGATCTTGAAAAAGTCAATTTTTTTTTATGTTTAAAATAGTTTTATAATGTTATTATTCATTTGATCTGATAGATAGAATATTATTAATCCGAGCATAAATGAATGAGATATTATCTGATTGAATTTTTAGTTAAAAATTTCATTGAAAAATATTTGATTTAATCAATAATTTAAATATTTTCTAATTAAAAATCTATTATAAATGTTATACGAGTACAATGATTAAGAAAAAACTAAACAAAAACTCGCTATTTATATTTGAAAATTATTTCAGCTGATTTTGTTTTTTATATGATTAGATAAAATTTTTCAATGAATAATGTACAAATTTAAATTTTTGTAAACATGGAATAGAAAGAATATACTCGACCTATGCATGTAATAATTCATTTATTTAGACGAAAATTGAACTAGAAAAAAAACATTGCTTCTTTTTATCTTTACAGCTTCATATATATATATATATAAAAGACAGTAAATACTATTAAAAGACGTGCCAGTCAAAATCAATATTTATTATAGGTTTTCATTTTCACATAAGCAAATATGGTTTGTAATAAATTTGATTATATATTTTAAAATTGCTTTATATAATAAGCTTCTCAGACCGATTGTTACGGATCACTATAAACTGTTAAACACACCTAGTATTATTAACTGTATCATTGATCCTGTATTTACGAAGACATACGGCCTTGGTAATGAATTGTAATTCGTCTATCAATTTTTCATCATGATAAGAAGAAATATATTTTGTAATTTGTTTTTAGTCGAAAAACAATTCTACTAATTGACGAAATTTTTTGCATAAAAATTTCAGTCTGATTAGAAAGAAATTACTATTGAATGATCAAAAAAAACAAGAGTGAAGAGATTTTAGAACCATACGGATTAATTTCGAGTTTAGTTTATGATACTTTTAAGTTATTTTTTATTACTATGATTGAAAACAGTATTTAGGTGATAACATCTGATATACATCTCATACTTTCATTATCGAAAGGATGAAGAAATTTATAAAATAAAAATATATTCTATCCTTATCAAACAACGTTGACTAACTATTCTAATATTCATCTATGACAAGTCTTACATATTTTATCGTTCTCTTATACAATCATTGAATCAAACGCGTACATTAACTAACCTTCTCTCACAAACGATAGTAATGAACGAATGTTTTAGTTTCTTTATCGATATAACCATACCGTTCATCCACATATATATAATGATCGAAAAATTCTCAAAATTACAAAGATTATAGTACATAAGAAAACAAAAAAAAAAGAACAGCGCACTTTTTCCGCAACTTATAAGTAAATCATTTGTACACAAAACATTAAGACGCATGTGTTTAGTTTTTTTTCCTCAATTAATACTATAAAAAAATATGTTGTTTTCATAGGAATACTTCATTGTAGTCAATTGATTTTTGTTTAAAAGAGCATAGCAGCAGTGTTTTATCCAAAGGGCCCCCCGAGACCCGCGACGAACTGTATAGCTTGTTCCCTCCCCTCGGAAAAAAATTTTTCGCCCTCCCCAGTGGCGTACGCAGAAATTTTTCAAGGGGGGGCGGCCATGGCACAAAAAATTTTTTATCACGTGAAAATATTTTTTCCTGTACCCCCCTTCAGGACTTTTTCGTCTCAAGGGGGGACCCGGGCCCCCTCGGCCCCCCCTGCGTACGCCACTGGCCCTCCAGGAATTTCAAATCGTCCCTCCGAAGAAAAAAACACTGCATAGCAGAGATATAGAACTTTGATTTAGAAATTTCATTGATTGAGAAACTTCCAAAAAGGTTATAGTATAGAATCGAAAAATTAATGCAATTTGAATCGAGATCGATTTTAATAGAATGTCGTATCTTTAGAATATAGTATTTGAATGTAAGAGAGAAAATTATAATGAAAGCTTCGATTAAAAATATTTATTCAAATGAAGAATTCTATCTTAAAACTTTATCAATCTATTAAGTTTGTCTTTAATTTTGAATTAAAATGAGAATTCTTCAAAACAAATAGATTCTATCAAAATTTCTTTTTTACATGTATTTTTCATGTAAATTACGAATTTTTTTGTCTTATCTTCACCCCTTGTAAAATGTGAATTCGATAGAAGATGAGACACTAATTATATTTCATCTAAGTGGCATTCAAAAAATTCATCTTCTTTCAGATAAGAATCTTATGAAAACAAAAAAAAATCTATCCTAGAATGAAAATATTCGATCACCTATGAATAATTATAATCAAAAAAAAAAGAAAACATGTTAATAGATTTGATCATTATTGAAATTTCAATTCAAAAATCACGTTATAATGAATTACTTTTCTCTTTACCTTAAAATCAAGGACTTCTATATCAATTATAATATATAAAATTTTTTTATTATAAATACAACAAGTAAAAAAAAAACTTTCATATACACACAACTTTTCTCATCGAATTTGTGCAATAAATCATCTTTTCTTTTTTTTTATAATCATAAAAATGATTCATTTGATGCGTTTCCAAAAATAACAAATGTATGATGTATATAGATTTTCTTTTTTTTATTTGTTTCGTCATGCTAATTTATAAATACTTGATATATCTATTTGACATAGTATAACTATGTTCATTATATAATATAAACATATGTTCTTTCTTTTTATTATTTTTTGTTGGTTAATTTGACCTTCATTCTCTCAAAAGAAACTCATGTCTCAATGAAACATTGATGACGACTTTAACATACCTATTACAATTTCAATCTCTTCGTTCTTTTTTTTCTTTTTTCTTTTTTTCTTTCTTATTCTCCTTCGTCTGCTGTTGCTGCTGCTGCTGCAACTACTCCCCATTTTTATAAATAGAAGAGCAGAAAAGAACATTGATGAAAAAAACTCAACTTTGCGTTTTTATATGTATGTTACATACATGCGCACATAACAAGGAAGAATGAAGTTGACGATGAAGGACGACATTGAAAAGGTTTTTCTTTTTTTTTTGGAGAAATAACTTTCCTTCTTTTTTTTTTTTTTTCTTCTGATGATAGAGAAAAAAAAAAGAGAGACAAATGCGTAGGTATACGTTAATTTTTCTATATTTATTCACGTGGGATCGAGTGAATTTTACTTTACACTACATCCTAGGTCTGTCTGTCTCTCTCTCTCTTTGTTCTGTTATTGATAGAAAAATAACATCAACGACGACAAAACTTCATCTAACTTGTCATCAATGCAGAGTGAAAAAAACCGGTGGTTATTACACGATGAGAATATAAATCTAGTAGGATAGCGCTCTATACTTTGATCTAATCTTAATATTTTTCATCTATTTCAAAAAAAAAAATCCAACAAAAAAAATTAATTTTAATAAATCTAAATTTTTAGATGCGTCATGGTACGGGTGATTATGAACAATCGGCATTCAATGATATTCGTATTGATCTTCGAGGTAGTGGTGACGATGGTCCTAATATAAATACAAATCAAACATATTATCCTATTCGATATACAAATGAAAATGATCAACGATCACAAAGTTCTGTACCAAGTCGAATATCAAGATATGCAGGTAAATTCAAAAAAAAGAATATAATATAGAATATAAAAATTTTATTTAAAAAAAAAAAGAATATCCACAAGTTCGACCAACAAATCCATTATATTCAAGTCAATCAACAATAGGAACACGTGGTTCAAATCCTCAAATAGTTGGTGGTGTACCAAGTTCAAAAAGTTCAGCAACATTAGTTAATCGTCGTCAAAAATTTGATCCACAAGCACCACGTCGTCCATCAGATTGGAGATGGTTAGCAATATTATGTATTATTCTATTTTTTCCACTTGGTAGAATTTAATTTTTATTCTTTTAAATATTGAATAATTTTTTTTTCTATTATTTTAAGGTTTATTTGCATTTGCATTTGCACGTAAAGCACAAAATAAATTTCGTGATGGTTTTGTTATGGATTCTCATAAACTTAATAAACGTGCACTTATACTTTGTATTTTATCTATTATATGTGGTATTGCATTAATTATTGGTTTACTTTTTGGTTTCGATGCTTGGCCAAGAACAAATGGATAATATATATATATTGAATTTTCTGAGAATTAGATTAGTAACAAAAAAATTTTATTGTATATTTTAAACAATGAAAGAGAACAGTTTAAATTGTAAAGCATAATTAACTTAAAAAATTAAATATATTGTTTCGATTTAGTTTTTTTGTGTGATTTTTCGTACTCATGGGAAGCGCTCAGAAATATTTCAATTCAGTTTTTTTTTTATCCTTTATTGTATATTCTTATGTTTTTTTTTTATTTATAAACAAAAATTATTGAAAAATTCATTTTTTTTTGTCTAGATTTCGAATACATACATATATGAGAGTAGTAATGAAAGTTTTATAAAGTCAATGTAAAGCGTACTTATAAAATTATATTATTTTTTCTTATCACAATGTTTAATTTTTTTTTTCTGAATTTTTGAAAAAAAAAAAATATTCATTGTGTCGAAAATTTTTAGACTAAAGAAAAAAAATCAAGTGTTTAGAGATTATAACCTTTTTGATAAAAATATGAAACCATAGATTATACAACCAACGAAATAACGATGTCTCTCAAAAAAAAAAGATCAATAGACTCTTAACATTTTATATGATCTGATTGAAAATAATTATTCGAAATTAAAAGATTAATCCTTTATAATTTATTATCAATCTTAAAAAATAAAATAATATTATATTCTAGATAATTCTACAATGTCATCAGTTACAAAAACAGTTTATAATATATTTTTTCGTCGTTCAGCAACTATTGTATTATCAATTGCTGTTGGTGTATTTGCTTATGAACGTTTAATAAATAAAACAACAGATTATATATTTGAACGTCGTAATCAAGGCAAATTATGGAAACATGTTCAACCACAATTTCATTTAAAAACTGATGATGAAGATGAATAATCATTATTTAAAAAATGACAATTGAATCTTGAACAAGATCAAATAAGAAAAAGGCAAATATTATTAACATTGTCCCACGTTAATATTCCCATTACAAAAAACAAAACTGATTTAGTCTGTATTTCTGTCCTTGATTTTTTTTTTTTTGTTTTTTGAAATAAATAACTCTTTAGATTTAATATCTTAGGATAAAAATAATTTTCTTTTTGAAATTTTTATGAACAAAGAAAAAACATCATTTTGTTAACATTAAATAATTTAAGATGTATTTGTTTTTAAGTAATTAACAAGAGCTAAGGTCGTCAAATTATATCCTTCAGAAAATATATCTTCTTTTATACTTTCAATAGTAATGCATATTTTTTTAGTTCTATTCTGTGAAATACATCATGAGTAAATGATTTTATTTGCACTTCTTTTCATTTTTTTGACAATGAGCGAATAATAAATTTACATTTTTTTTTGATTCAAGACAAAAATCAAACTATGGACATGGTGAATATTCTCTGGCTAATATTATTAATCAGATACTAGAAATTTAGTTAAATTTGTAATAATGATATTTTTCTTATACAATATAATAGATCGCTATTATACCTATAGGTAAGTAGTAGTGAAAATAAAGATATTTAGATCTTGCTAATTCAACTAAAATGACATTTCAATCTATTTAATAATTTTTCTAAATTGAAAGTATATTACTTCACTCTAGATTCAAGTCAACTGGCTATTTTGAACTTTGAGATGTATAGTTAAGGGTCCCACCTTTCCGGGATGTCATAGATTCAAAATTCCCTGATGCTGTCTTCTATGAGATAATAGGATCACAATGTCGAAAAATGACCCTAGTTTTCGCCCGCGTTTCTCGAAAACGGTATGTTCGATTGAGCTGAAAATTTTTTTACGGGTAGTAGACACTGTTTAGGATGCATATTTTCTTTTTAGCTTTTGTTGTTTCAATAAAAAAAGTCAAAATACTGAGCCTACCCTAAAAAACGCTTGTGTTTGTTCCTCTAGCAAATTTTGTAAAAGCTGCCTAAAATCACCCGAGCAATAATTCTTGAAAAGAAAAAAAATACTCATCCCAAATGGTGAGTAGAATATGTAAGAAAAAGTTTCAGCTCGATCTCTCTTACCATACCGGAGAAACGGGGACGAAACAGTACTTTTCCTACTAAAAAACAAAAATTTTGAGTGAGGAAAGGCGGGGGGACCCTTAAAGTTCCTTTGAATCGGCATGTCGCGATTTGTAGTATTGCTTAAGATCTACTCTGAAAGATATTTTTCTACCCTAAAGAAAATGCATTCTCAGCTAGAGGACCCATATGTATGAACTAAGAAGCATGTTTCTAACAATTAGAAATGTGGTCTTTTGAATCTCGAATACGTTCAATTTAATAATAAAGGTGCATTGACTTTTCAGTAAAATATAATATGTTGTTGTCTGTAAAAAAAAAAAACTTCTTTTAAAATTAAGCGTCTTATGTAGATTATGTTCTATAACTTTGACGATTTATTTTTGTGAAGCGTTCTTGGCGAATGTTATTAATGAGGAAATTCATTTCTATAATTCTTCTTATGAATTTTTTTTTCTTCAAAAATTACCCAAATTAGAGCTGCTACAGTTCAAAAACAGTGAAAACAAAAGAAAAATGTCTACGCCAAACTTATGTATAAATATCTAGAAAAATGTGTACAGTCAATCCTCGAATTTCTGTCACGCGAGATTAAAAACGAGTTTGACATTTAATGACGCGTCTAAAATTGATCGGATTTGTATTGATTGAAAGTCAATGAAGGGGGGGAGATAAAAACACGCGAGATTTTTTATTTTGTTTGATGTAGAACTTCCTTAAAGTATGGCAGATTGAGCTGAAATTTGGATCGTTTTATCCACTCGTTGTAATCAAAAAATATCAGGATCAAAAACTTTGTCCTTCGTACAAAAGAGGAAAAAAAAGTGTGAAAATGTCACGCAAGATTATTATATGCGTAATCGCCTAACAATTAAAGCTAAAATAGATACATAATTATTATTTAACTTCTATATTTAAGAAGTTATCAATTGTCATGCGAACTAATCTTAACTTGTACCTCACAAGTTAATAAATTCACAAAAAAAAAGGTCACTAATTATATACATTCTCTAATTGTCAACTTTATCACTGTATAAGTGTAAAAGCTAAATATAATTTAGGGCAAATCATGCTTTTTCGGTTCCTCATCCTGCATTGCCTATAGTTTGTTATTACAAAGAAGAAAAGGCAAAATGTCGTTGAAAAATTGAATTAAGGCGCGTACTATCAAAGTCTTCTTCTCTCATATAGTATTATAGAATGCACTAATCATCGTTGTCAAAATCGAATTATTTGTTTTCACAGGACGATACAATAATTTTGCAATTCATCCATATGATGGTATAATATTACTAACAGACTTCGACAGAAATATTATATTTTTGATGTCTATCAGACATTCTAATTATCAAGTCTAGATCTACTACTATTTTCAACATTTGGTTTTAATGAAAATTATTCAGTGTTATCATTTTTTTTATTTTTGTCGATTTTTATGTAATTCTTTGCATTCTTTATTACATCTATAGACTTGTTTGACAAAATTTTATCATTAATAAGTTGTTCAGGTATTTATGAGTAACGATATTTCTTTTCCTGTTTATTATATCTAATAATCATCATGCTCAATATTATCGTTAGTCAGAACATTTAATTTATAAATCAATCTTCATTTGAATAAGAATAATTATTTTAAGTAAATATTTAAACAAGAAAAATATTAGAAAAATCAAAATAAGACAAGAATTATGAGTGTATTAAACAAATCGATAGTTCTATTTGTTAATAGATATTTTTAAGTATCTATAAATGATGCGAACATTTCCAAATCGAGAACTGATGCTATCAATAGATTGAGTTTGTTCAGTCTACGACTCGATTAAGGGAACCCCCCCCCCCCTCAGAAACGATTTCTCACCTAAGATAGACCATTTGGGCTGAAACTTTCAGGAACAAGTGGTCCTGGTGAGATATGCTTGTGATAAAAATTTCAGCTCGATACACCCGAGTAGATCGAACTTACGGCCTGTTTTCATACCTCCCAGGAAAATAGGAATCACTCAGTCGTAGTAAAGGCTAGAGAGCTCGGGATGGCGTCAAATTAAAGCTAGTCTCTGTGCGCAACTTTTCATCACATGGATTTTTGAAATTCCTTTCCATTCATTTTTTATGACCATTTTACTGGGCAGGTCTGCAAAAACATGTCACTTGAGCGACAATAAATTCCACGTTTATCAGCCCAGAAGAAATGTATCAAAAATCCGTCTGATGAAAAGTTAGCCCTGATTCAGAGCTTTAAAACAAAAAAAAATATTGAATAATATCCAGGTCCGGGACGGAGTGATTTCAATTTTCCTGCTAAGAAACCATATTCTGAGAAAAGCGCCAACGAAGTTTTAGAAATGGGATTTTCATTCAAATGCAGGCAATAATGGTATATTGATAATATTGATGTGGAATTTTTGAAAGCACGCAATAGATGGAGTAAGCTAGCACTACAGGTCGTACTATATGATATAAGAATGTTTATTTCATGCTGATAGAATTAAAAAAGTAGTCTTCCCAAAAATAACAAAAACCGGGTACTGAGGTGGAAATCTCCTACGAAGGTCTATAAAAATTTGACCTTTTTTTAGAAATTTATATATATTCTGAAAGAGGAAACTTCGCTGCATCTTCCTATGATAAAAACTCGACTTCGATTACTTTTCCAAAAAATGGATTTTCTGAGGGGGGCCCTTAAAGCAAATGTCCAAAGTATTAGATTTTTATATAATACTCTCAAAAAAAAATATAATGAATGCATTTTTTCAATTTTAAGTCTTATAATTAAATTTTGTATGTAATTCATATGAATATTTCCAATCGGTCTCTGTTATCGATTACCGTATTTGATAGTATAGTAGCTTATATGCTATTATTAGCATCGTATCATTTGTTTCTTTTCGTTCTATGTTTTGATTTTCAGTCTGCTTTACTAATACGTATGCTATATTTTTTTTTCTCTTCCTTTCTCTTACCTTAACACAATGTTTTTTTTTTCAGGTCATACTGTTCTTTGATAGAAGAAAAACATACAATGCCGACACTAGCATATATTATATTCTATACTATCAAATATGATAAATGATAGTAAAGATCAATTGAGGATACTTTCGCATGAGCTATATATAAACTTCAATTATTAGACTTAAAATTGAAAATACACACCTCTTCTATTTTTTTTTGAAAATTAGCATATTAAAGGCTAATATTTTTGGGGTACCTGTCTAAGCCGAGTTGACCTATTCATGGTATCAGTTCACAATTTGTGTTGTTAATAGATATCTGATGCTGTCTTATTAAATTCAATAGAGAATTTCATTCTTATAAAAAATGAAATTTGAAAGCCGAGTTGTACAATAACTTTTTCTAGTCTTAACTAGATCTTAATAAGAATGTACGAATATCAAAATTAGTTTTGTAATTAATTCTCAGATATTAGAAGAAAATTGATATTTAAAGGACGACTATGTTCTAGTGTACAAATGATTTTTATCATCATATAAAAGATATCTTCATTTAAATTAAATAAATGTAGCTTCAACGATTTATTTTTTTTTTGTTTTATTGATTTAAAGTTTGTTCCTATTGACCTTCTTTACAGCATGAATACTAAAGTAAAATAGGCTTCATTATCATAATTACAACTCAGACGTATTAAAATATGGTGAATACATTTATTTTTTAAGTTAAAAATAGACATAATATAATAATTAACATCTAAGTTGAGTTTATTATAATGTTTATTTTTTTTTGCAGGTGATCAAAAAGATCGAGTAATAAAAAAAAAAAAACAGAAACTCATTTAAACTGTATTTATCTAATTAAACACAATAAAAAAATAAATAGAGACCATGTCGACTGATTGATTTTAAAATTACA